CCCCCCCCCCCCCCCCCCCGGCCCATCGCCATGACTTCCTGCCGTTTAGCAATGACATGTATGTGTATATAGCTGCTTTAGCGACGAATGGCATTTTGAGAAAGTAAATATCATAACCGCATGTTTTCTAGACACTGTGTAAGAGTGCAAATCCGCAGTGGCGGGAACAGTTTGACTTTCACTACTTCTCTGACAGGATGGGCATTTTGGACATTGAAGTGTGGGGAAAGGACAGCAGAAAGCACGAGGAACGTCTGGGCACGTGAGTCTGCTTTGCTTTCTAACTCGTGGGAGACGCGTGGGCAGCTCGCGTCTGCATGGAGCTGCTCAGAGACAATGTCTTGATCTGTGTGGGCTTAGAGTCAAAACCTCATATCCCCACCCCGGGAGCCATAAGTCAGCTGGACCCTAACCTGGGGAAAAGGTTTTGTTTTAACTGGTAAATGCCATTTAATATTGATTAAAACAGAAGAAAATTGTTATGTGTGGGAAATTCTCTAAAAAAAAAAAAAAAAAGACATCGGGCCATTTCAGACAATCTGCGAAATGGTTATGCATATGGCCCTTGAACAGCATGCGTTGAACTGCGTGGGTCCACTTACATGCATTTTTTTTTTCCAATAAATACAGTATACTAAGCGTCTTTTCTCTTCCTTAGGATTTTTTACAAGAACGTTTTCCTTTTCTCTAGCTAACTTTATTGTGGGAATACAGTGTCTGACACCGATAATATACAAAGTTATGTGTTAATTGTTTGTACTGTCGGTAAGGCTGCTGGGCAACAGGGGGCCGATTTAGTAGTTGAGTTTGGGGGGAAGTGAAAAGCTATTTTTGACTGTGCGGGGTCATCAGCGCGCATGACCCCTGCACTGTTCAGTAATCAACTGTGTAAATTTCCAGCGTGCCCTCTAATTTTGGTTTTGATACTTAGTAAAATACCCTACAAGTTAGTAAGAATAGCAGCCGTGGTGTCTCAAATGGTGGGAGATCTTTCAGTGTCCTTCCTGAGCTGTGTGGCAAACCGTCATGAAATCTGTTGAGCCGACTTTCTGTATTCTACGTCTCTTTACTTTGCACCCTCCCAACTCCATTGGGGCTCTCACCGTCCCGTAACCAGCGATACTATGACTGTTACAGCTTTCTTCTGGCTTGTAGTAATGCCATTAAATGAGACTGTGCCTGCACTGTGGCTGGCCCGTGGGAAGTACGGTGGACATCGCGGTGGAAGCATACATCATCTCTGATCTTTCAAATAGCCCTGCAGGTTGGCAGCATTATTCTCCTTTCTGAGATGAGGGGGCAGAATGCAAGAGGTTTACAAATGACTTGGTCGTGGACTTCAGAGCAGCAGGTGCCAGGGCTAGGAGGCTGTGTTTTCCAAGACCGATTTCTTTCCACCAAATCCCTGCCTTGTGTTCATCCCGTATCCAATTTTTCATCCCGATTCTTCACCCCGGTGCAATGTGTACACAGACCTTAAATCTCGAATGTAAGCATGCAAAGGGCTCTCAACAGCTGTTGGTCATCTTTTCCAAACCAAGGACTCCGGAACCTTGGGTTCAGAGAGGTGCCTGGGGCTCGGCCCTTGGAGAACGGAGAGCCTGCTAAAACCTCTGTCGTGAAGCCAGAGCAGCTCAGCCCTTGCCTGTCGTCTGCATTGGGGTTCAGACTGAGGGAAAGTCCTCTTGCTGAGATCTAAACATTGAAGACAGCTCCTCTAATGGGACCCCTGATTTTCACCGATGAGGAAAGGCGGAGGCCCAGAGAAGTGCATGTTTTCCTGTCAGCAGGGAACTTAGAGGCGGAGATGGGACGAGACCCAGCGAACCCAGTCCCTTGTACGCTGCTTTTTCTGCGTAAAATACTGAGCACAGTGTCTGGCACACAGAGCGTTGGATCTTCCTGCCGTCTCCCCGTCCCTCCTAAGCAGCTCTCCTGAGGTAGACGGGTGGCGAGTTTGGTACCCACGGAACATTCCTCTGGTGTTTTCTCAGTGGAGGTACTGTGTCCCAGGGGACTGTCCGGCATGTTGCAGGAGGTTTAAGAAATCTGGCTCTCACCCACCTGATTTCGGATACTCGTCTCTCTCCCCAGTGGTTGTGTGGGAGATATACACACGGCACATCCACATTCCACCACACGTATCCAGACACCCCCCGGGGGAACAGCATGTCACCAGTTGAGACCTCAGCTCTTCCAGCCTCCCTGGGGCACAGCCCGGGTTGCAGGGCTTCATGTGGCCCTCTTGTCCCCAACACTCTGCTGAGCCCACAGCTGGCCGCCATTGCTTTATTGCCAACCTCGTGGTTTCGGTTGGTGCTTTCGGATAGCAGACTAGGTCCTGTCACCCTCCGGCTCCCGCCGGAGGTCTCCCCCTGGCCATTTTGCAGATACAACCCGTCGGATGACTTTAGCCCGGTCTTGTCTCTCCCTCCTGCACCCACACAGGGTAACTGAGGCACTTCTGACGTTCCCCACTACTTCTGACACTTGTCACCGCTGTGACATTGCCAGTGCCCTCCCAACGCTCACGGTTAGGAGCCCCAGAAACTTCGTGCTGGCCCAGGGAGCAAGGATTGGTTACGTCAGTGCCCGGATACAGAGGATCCAGTGTCCCAAAGCGCCACCTGAGTGGTGGGAATTTGGGTTTCCAGGGATGAATGGCAAATGTGTTATTTTAGGAGGTGCCAGGACTAATGCCCTCTCGCCTCACACATAGCTGTGCTGCCACGTTTCCTTCACACAACAGGAAGTGCTTTGCCAAATGAGTATTGAGTTTCTTCGTGGCCACGAAAAACCATGTAGAATGTCCAATTTAGTCTATGTTTTGTCATTTGAGTATCCATTTATTTTAGCGATTTCCTGTTTGCAACTTAGCCATGTAGCTGGCCTGGGGGTCATGGCGTCCTTCCTCTTCATGGCTTTTAAAGGCTTCTTTTGGTATCCTTTACTTTTCCCTCTGCTGAGGCACAAACGATAGCAAAGGTATCTCTTGGGAGCTGACTACGCAGCATTACCCTGAAGCCACGCTTCTTTCCTTCTCGTTTCATTTTGTTGTCGTTGTTGTCATTGGAAGGCTCAGTTGTTTCATCTCCCAGGGCTGGGGAAATACCTTTTTGCATGAGGAAGCTCTCTGACAGTGTGAATGAGCCATGAACGTCTGTTAAGACCTGTCGCGTATTTTGTTTTTGGATCACACCTTGATGCTAGTACTCGAAAGCCCCACGTGGCCTCTCTGCGGAAATTCTTTTTGAGATTAATGTTGAGATTTTCCTCAAACGTTCCCCGCAACGTTCGCAACTAAACTTATGCAATTTAAGAAAAAGAAATATGGATAGTAAAAGTCATGTATATATGAATATATATATCGAATATATATATATATATACACACACACATATATCTCAAAAAACAGTATAGACAATTTTGGAAACTTTTTGTAGAAGTTTGCAGGGAATAGGGGCTATCTTCAAGGACTTGATGTAAAGGACATCTGTTGGCCAAAGGATTGAGCCATGGCATTGGCCTTGACCTTGGTGGGTTGCTAGCTTGATCGTGGTTCAGACATGGGCCTGCCTGATGGCCAGCCACCGCCAGGATCTCCTAAGTCACCTGGAGCTTTCTGAAATCCTCTTGTACGAGGCTCCCTCTGCAGTCTTCTGAGACTCTTCTCAGAGTCTTCTCAGTCTAACTGAGCCACAAGTTAACCCAAGGGGGGGTTCAAGGCTGGTGAGATAAAGGTGTTTGAACAGATCCAATGCCCTCTGGACCATGGTACCTACTAACTCCACTGTTTGTCCAAGAGCACAAACAAAACAAAACAAAATGGAAAAAAAAAGCAAACAAAAACACCAAAAAAGCAACACGACACAACACAAAACAAAACAACAGTCTCTGATTTTAAAGGCCACCAATGGTCCAGAGACAGTGAACTTTTCAGGGGAGTAAGAAATAAAGTTGAACTTTATTTCTAAGTTGAACCTGCTCCAACTTTTAACCAAGATGGCAAGAGTATACATATAGGTTATCCCATTGTAAACCTGGGCCATTTCAAAATAATCCTTTTGTTTTCTGAAAGTGTATTTTACAGTTCAAGGCGGTTTTAGAGATTAACTCATTATTATAGAATATTCTAGGCTTGGGGCGCCTGGGTGGCGCAGTCGGTTAAGCGTCCGACTTCAGCCAGGTCACGATCTCGCGGTCCGGGAGTTCGAGCCCCGCGTCAGGCTCTGGGCTGATGGCTCGGAGCCTGGAGCCTGTTTCCGATTCTGTGTCTCCCTCTCTCTGTGCCCCTCCCCCGTTCATGCTCTGTCTCTCTCTGTCCCAAAAATAAATAAACGTTGAAAAAAAAATTAAAAAAAAAAAAAAAGAATATTCTAGGCTTCACTGGGTTTTGAAAAGTTAAGAAGGACAATGTGCAAGTCCATTTCAACTGGGCTGCTTCAGAGGCAGCCCTCGGCCCCGCATGGTGCCTTGGAAAGTGGTGCTAACATTGTACTGGTTTATTAGTGACGCTGATGCCATAGAGAACCGGGGCTGGAATATTTCTCCGGACAAATTGCACCGCGTGTCATTGATCTGCTTTTACAGCCAGGCTTGACACATTCACCATTTTCTTCCTGTTCACCCCCTTCCTGAGCCTCTGAGATTTACAGCTTTTAAAACTACAGCGCTCTTTTCTGCCCCTTGCATTTAAGTTAAAAGCTGACCAGTCTGTAATATAAAACAAGGAATTGTGGTAATGAATAAGAGGTTAAAAGCTATCATGGCAAGTGAAACTTGAGCAGGTTCGACTGACTGATATGGCAAAATGATGTGTTGAATTAAAACATTGAAATGCTGTGGGATTAATGGAGAAAGACAGGAACAGGAGGTCAGAAACAGTGCTAAATCAGCACATTATACGCCTGTGGGCTAGAGGAAAGCTTTACTACACATGCCTGTTGCAGAGGGAAAAAAATAGTAATTGAGTCATCATTTTCTTCAGGTGAGGAGAAACAGAGACTTTTCAATCTGAGAAGCACCTAGGAAACATATTGATTGCCGTCCCTTTCTCATGTAGAGGAGGAATTAAACGATGCACAGGATTTCATTACAACAGCAACAACAACAAAAAACCACTGCCTTTGCCATTTGGATTTTTTGACTTTGAGTTTCCTTGTGCCACTGGCCTTCGTTTGTTTGTTCGTTCGCTCTATTCAACAGAGAGCCCGTCATGTACCAGATGGCCTACAAAGTGCTGAGGATTCAGTGGAAGATGAT